ATATTTGTATTTTATAATAAATATCGACATGTGGCAACTGAAAATATTATCCGAAAATTGAGATGTGAAGTTTATAATAAATATGGACACATGACAACCATAAATCTTATTCGAAAATTTTATCCTTAAATTGTATCCAAAAAATTTATATGAAATATGAGATGTAAATTTGTAATAAATATTGACACGTGGTAACTGAAAATCTTATTCGAAAATTTTATCCAAATTAATTGTTTAAGTATTATAATAATAATAATAATAATAATAAATACAAGTGAATAGTATTTATCATTTGCCATAATAATAGGTGGAAACACAACAAGCCTTTTGAAGGGCTATCACTATTCACATGAATAGTAACAATCCTTACCTTACCCTTGCCCTTTGCCATAAAAAATGGGTGGAAGTGCTTTTAGAGAAGTGATGGGTGTTGATGGTGTGATTAAAGGTTAAGGGAGTCACGGGAGGTGTTGGTGTTATTAGTGTGAGGTGTGGCTGTACAAACAAATTCGTAAATTTTTCTAGAGATCGTGTAGTTTTAAAAAAAATTTATTTCATTTTACAAAAGGGATATACTTTGTAATTAAAAGAATAAAATATGAGCCTCCAAAGACAATATTTGGGTGTCCACAAAATCACACTTCAATTCTCCAATAAATATTTCGACCAAAAAAAGAGTCTCCAATAAATGAATAAAATAAGTAATTCAGATCCAATAGGGTGGGCCTGGGCTTGACCCAAGATCAAAATAATGATGGAAAAGAAAAAAGGAAAATCGCTAGAAGGAGGGCTCGAACCTCCGACCTTGTGGTTAACAGCCACACGCTCTAGCCAACTGAGCTATTCCAGCTTGTTGCTAGATGACGCCATTTTACATATATATAATTGTTTGATGATATGTGTTTTGGAGTGGGACAATCGCTGCTTCAACGCTCAATTCAATCCTGTCCATCTGCAACAACAGCACAAGCATTATCCTTGTCTGGGTCCATACTCTTCACGACATGTGCGCTCTAGATCTTGGCCTTGAATATTTGATTTGTTTAATTTTTTATACAAGCAATATTAGAGATGAGAGATTTGAACACAAGATCTCGAGTATATGGATAACTGAAATGACAATTACTCAAGTCAATGTATAATGACTATTTCTGAATAGCTACTTGATAAATACGTGGAAGTAAATAACAATCACATTGTTCAAGCTTGAGTGATAAAATATAAAGGAATCCAAGGAGGGGAAAAGAACAAGAGAGATTAAGAAAAAAACAGGGTCACTAGATCCGAGAGACTGTAGTATTTGCCTACATGACGCTACTGTCCTCTGCTATCTCTTCATCATCAGTTTATCTCTTCCCTTACAAATTACAGAAACACGACAATTAGCAAGTCCCCACAAGTTTTGGTGGGGCTGGTTGATGTGTTGTTGTCTTGTTGTCTTGTCCCGCAATCACATGCTTAAATCGAGTGGATAATTATTTCTCTTACAACATTTTCATGGCTGTCAGGAATTCCCATTTTATAATTTTTTTGCATCATTTTAGTTCATGGCATTTCATTCAATATGTCTACGAATTAATCATTGGAGAAAATCAATTATGTGTTTTCTTGGCTCTTTCTGTTTATTTTTCTTCCACTCACATTTGCTCTCATTACATCCCTTGATACCCTTGATTTATAGAAACTTACCAAGTGAGTTTATTTATTTATTATAAATAATAGAGAATTATGCGAGATTAGCTCTTCTGTGAAGGTAATAGGATGCGAGGATCCACCCTCCATCCTGAAGGAGAAGGGACCTATACTTGTGGGAGACCCCACCCATCCCCCTATCAAATGTACATGAGTTTATTAGCTTGTGTGCCTTTAATACATAAAATATGTGTCAAGCATTTTGTTATAAGGGCTTTAACATATTATAACAGGATCAGGTTAACAACCAAGCTGTTTCAATCAATCAAAATCAGTGGTGGAGATTCTCTCCATCTTTAATGTTATATAATAAACAATCACAGAAGTTCCTATAGACTAATAACAATTATCACACAAATAGGATGCGTGTAAGACTAATCACCACTAGAAAACTTCACTATATGTCACAGATACACTGGTGACATGTATTTATGTTAGCCGCAAATTATCCGTGGCCAACGAATGTTAGTTATGAATTGGACACAGATCACGTGACCGTGGTCGAAGTAGGTGTTGCCATTAATTTTCTGCCACGATAAAGAGTATTCGTGGCCTATAAATAATGGATCCCACCATCTCTTCTCACCCTTGCCAAAGTCTGCCTCCCCTCCCCTCCCCAATTGATTAAAAAATATTAGGACCTGTAAAAGCGGAATATTGGTTTAGATACCTGACTTATGCGTTTGGTCTTTTTTTAGTTTTATCTCATGATTTGGAGCTGTCTTGTAGTTTTCATACGTACTGTTTGCATTTCTTTTAATTTGGTTCCAACCAAATTACATTTAGGAGCAAGTGATGTATAAAATGGGAGAGAGAGTTTCAATTTGTTTCCATTAAAATTAAAATTAGGAACAATTGATGCATAAAATGAGCCTAAGCATGTCAATATAGATCTAAATGAACAACTCAGAAGGAAAGATATCCGGACTTATCTAGCTAATAGCGCCTTGAAGTTTTTGGAAGGTTCGTTAAGATGATAAAACTCCAATTTCGAAAGGGCTGAAAATTTTGGTTGATAGTAACAAACAAAACAACCCTACTCTTTACAATCACATATAATATACTTAAAATAACCAGTCCACAAACGATATATTCTGTAGCTAGGAAGGAGAGAGTTGGTGTGAAAATATGCTTTGCGTGCATGTGATTTTTGTCTGTGCCATCATTTTCAATCTGTAACCATGCTTGAGGCCCACAAGACTGGTGCAATTACAATAAGAATACAATTCTGCATCCACCATGCTTATCATTATTAATACCTATAAAGAGAGAGAGAGAGAGAGAGCCAACATATCCTTGCCTTAGTGTTTATAATGGAGAGAGATGATGTTATTGAACATCACAGGAGATCCCCTAACCTTTCCAGGTGCATGATGTCCCCTTCATGCTTTCCAGTGCAGGGGGAAATGGAGTACACTCGCCTCCACAGCTGTGGCCGCAGCAAGAGAAGCCCGCGATGGCGAAACTTGCTGCGGAGGTTTCTGAGTGATAGGGGCAGAAGCAGAAACATGTATGGGTCCAAAACTACCTTGTTTCAGTATGATGCAGTCAGCTATTCCCAGAATTTTGATGAGGGGTGTCACTTGCAGGAACAAGTAAATAGACGACATATTCAAGCCATGTTTCATGATGTGAGATGGGATCGCTCACATGAGTGATGTTGTTGTGTCTAGCTGCATTAGCTAGATGTGTAAGTAAGTATAGATTTTTTTATTAATCATTGTAAATATTTCAGATCCATATGTGTAAGCATATATATATGCAAAATTTGAATCTTCTGTTTTCCTTTTTCAATTTCTGATGCTCAATCGTGAGGAGGTTTTCTGTAATGCGGGATGGATGTACGTTGTGAGATTAATTCGGGATGTGAGTGGCGTCCGTACACTATTCTAGCCGTACTCATATCCCGTATTAATCTCATAACAAAATTTCAATAAGAAGACAAATGCATAGCTTAAATATGGATCTACTAAAAATTAGTTATGTATTTTGAGCACATGGCAGGTAGCTCTATTGAGATTCATTACAAATTTCTAAGATCAGAAAGAAGTCTTATCATTTGTGTTAAACTGGATCTACCTTAGTATATATGTTACTTCAACAATGCACGGTTTTTACACAATAAGTAACAATGTTCCACACAATATGATCACAAATTGAAGCAAGAGAAACCCCACAAAGGACAAAAAAAGGATGGTTTTTGAAGTAAAATATTTGCTTATTACAACATTAATTTCGTATGTTCGTTAAGTCTTTGCGAATAGCCCAAGGGATGTGGGTGAGCGGAGAAATGTGTTAGAATTCACTTCCATGGATAAACCCTATTTTGGTTAATTAATCACATTTCTAAGTAAGTTTTATAAATGATATACGAATGTAAAATAATTAAGATTTCTAAATAGAGTAATTTCATCGAAAAAAGTGTTAATTATATACAACCCCTCAAACTCTGAGGTCAATTTAAATTGGTAAATTGATGAAAAATCTACACATAAGCACAATGATAAAAGAATATGTTAATATTTTTATTAAATGATAACGTGGCAAATATAGGTGTCATATTAAATATTTTATAGTTACGTGGACTCGATCAATTTAAAAGGACTAAAGAAAACCATGAGGGCCTGATGTCGTACGGCATATCGACGACATAACGACCCCAATCGGACCACCTGGCCCAACACAATAAAGGCTTGAAGGAAGAGCTCTCAAATGAGATGGGAGCAGCGGAGAAAAAAAAAAATCTAAATTTACATTTATGTCACATTGGCTCCGTTCCATTATCCATACATGTCACATTGGTTTTTCTACTAATTCAACAGTGTTAGTAAATAAAAAAATAGAGTATTATCAACTGGATTTAATATTGATTTTTCTTTCTGTGCGTGCTCTATGTTGATCTTCATTTTATTTTTTTATTTTTTTTTATATAAGCGATATTAGGAAGGGGTAATCGAACTTAAGACCTCGAGTGTAGAGATAAATACTCTTAATCACTTCAACTATAAGCCCTTGTAATTATTGCTTGATTCTGGAAATTAGAGGACAAATTTAGTGAAATCCTCCACAACTGTTGTCCGTCATCTTGAAATATCATCGAGAGCTGAGAATCTTCATGAACAAAATATATATTTAACTATTTTTGATGTCTAGGACTCTAACCTCAATTGCTTTTAACTTCCTTTTTGTTAAACAATTTTTATTTTTATTTTTTTGTATTTTGGATTGCAAAGTAAATAGAAATTTTATTATACAAAGGAAAGTTTTTACAGGGCCATCAAAGCCCATGAAGAACACAAAAACCCCGGGGAGGTAAAACCCAACAATTAAAATAGCCATAATAGGCAAGCCCAACAGGCCGATAAAAAGAAGAAGAAAAAAACAAGACAATCCCACCAGAGCACATAAGCAACGTAGCTAGAACTTTTAACAATCTATGCTCTCCAGCGAAAAGAAGAAGAAAAAAAGTTTTACATTATACACTTGGGTTGTAAGGTATTTTGTTTAGGGCAAGTCTGCTAACATTTGTCCACGATCCTCAGATACTCCTTTGATATATAGACTGCTGCTGCATTTTGATCAGCACATTTTAGATGAAAATGTTACATAGTGGAGGTTTATTTTTCTCAATTAAAGAATGTGAATGAGAATTTTACCCGTTTTGATTGCTCTTTGTGGTGTATGTTAAGTTTGTTGGTTGGGCCGGCGCAGCTGAAGCTGGTTCGGGACATGCGAATCATCACTTATGCTCATGCCATAGGGAATGCAGGCATTTCTGCTCTGTGAATTCACAGCAGTTGTGCCATAAACCTGATACATGTGAAGTCAATTCGTGATGTTTTTATGATGTTTTATTACATGTTGTAGTTATAGATCAGAATACCTGCTTGAGTAATTCCATTTTTTCTTGACAAATGAGATTTACCTTGTTAAAGAGTTCCATGTTTTGTTGATGAACAAGATTGCTCTGCATGGATCAGAGAAATAAGAAAATGCTATGATGGTTGAAATTGAATTAACTCTTAGGTGGAATGTGTAACAAGGAATGAGTAATTATGTGTTTCTGGAAAGACCTTTTCATTGAGCTCTTCTATTTCATCAGTTAATATTTGTTCCTGCAATTTCAATGCTTGTAGATTATACACAAATTAAAGCATTTGATCTGACCTTTTGCATACGAATACCCTGCAGACTCATTTCTAATTGACTTTCTAGACCCTTCAGTTCTTTGACACTCAAGCCACAAAGCTGTTCTCCCATGCACTGCCTGTCATACCAGAATGCAGATTATCATCAGGTGTTTGATATACTTTCACAATCTAATGTCTATTACTATTAGTGTTGCGTTCAGTGGGATGTGCGAAGCCATTTCTGATTTGCTACCTTTGCTATATATACAGTTTGGATTATATATGACCTTGCTCTAAAGGGTCCATGTTGTCTCATTGTTTGAGGTAGTTTGTTGGCAATCATAACAATTGGTACATTTCTTTTCTTTTTGAATACTCGGGAGGTTTAGTGTCCTCTTAAGAAGGAATACCCAACTTCTGGGGTCAGCTTCGATCACGGGGAGAGAAATAGATACATATAATTAGATATCATACCTGTTTGGACATTGTAAAGGATTCTATGAAGCATATTATGAGGACTACTATCCATTAAATGGTACCTTACTTGCAGCCATCATTATTTGAGTGTTTGTGTGCTCAAACAAAATTGTTCAATTTAAAACTGAAGGAGAAAGATTGTACCGATGCTGTTCTTTCAAGCTCTGCAGTTGTTGCCTTAAGTTGGCTACCTCCCTTTGCCAAAACTAGCAAGTAAAATAACACAAAAATAAAATGCGCATGCAACTTCGGAGAATTGAATCAGTCTATATGATCAAACAGAGACCAAGATCTTTCAATAATATGTCAGAAACATGTCATTATAGAAATACATGAGGTGGTTGAATTTTCGATATCTACTAATCTGATTGTATTTGGGGTAGGTAGTAATGTAGTGTACTTCATATCCAACTCCCTCTGGTTCATAAATTTGTCTAGCCATGTTCATCGAAATCTTTCAATTTGTCAGAGTTTTTAAACCTTTTTCCCTTGAGTGATTCATCACATGCTGCACGTTTGTCAAGAAAATTAGTTTCTTGCAGCATGTGTACAATTTTGTTTAGTTCAACATATTCTAGTAGCACTTCTTAGTCAAGACAAACGAACCATCTTATAATGGAGTTATTATGTCAACACATCATACCACCATCAGGACTTCGTTTAGAAGATTACATGTTGTTCACATCCCTGGCAGCTGAAAATATACTAACTAAATTCATTTGGAATACCAGTACTGTTAAAACTAAGGCTCAATCTCATCCCTCTGAGGTTGGTGTGAACGCTTTCGTGACGTTTTATCTGGTAAAATCTTATACATCATCATCTTCATCATTACATTTCCCAATTCAGGCGATAATGGAAAATATTAACAATTGAAGACGGTGATCATGGAAAACAAGGATCTGAAGGCTGATCTAGAAGTTTATTCTTGGAAGATAGCAACCAGGAGAATTTACTTGATCACAACCTGGTTTAACTAACAACTATACTTGATCAGTGCCAAGGAAGTTGATCAGTAATGTTTAATTAGCTTCGCCTGATGGTGGTGTGAAAGTAAGCTTTTCTTATGTAGAATTGGTAACCTATAGGAATTGAATATATATCAAGACAAAACTATGGCCTCTCAATATCCACATACTGGCACAATTCCATTAAAAAATAGTTCGTCTGACTTGAAAAAGCAGGACCACAGAATATTGTAATACTTTTTCTTTGTTAGTTAAGTTCTTATTGGTAGCAATACAAGCAACTGTTTGGGAGTTGGATATCTTTTTTTGCATTAAAACCTAACAATACTTGAGTAGAGATGATAACTGAGTGCCTAGAAGGTATAAGACAAAGATGTATTAGTTTTTTTTTCTTCTTCTTGGAAACATAAGAGGTTTATTGTTTATATTGCAGAGTGATACTTTCTACATGTTGAAACAGATACTATACGAACACGCGTTTCATTTGTATGCAGATACTACAGCCGTAAACCCAGAATTATTCGAAGCAGAACTGCAATCTTTGCATAATGGTATGTTATAAACTAGGACTATGTGTGTTCTCTGCTCAAAACTGCCAGGTCTTTTCATCCCTTATTCACTATGAAGAAAGTTCACTATGCTTTTCATCCTTTTTAATCTCCTATCTTGAGGTTGATGTAAAGCCTGAAGACAACGCTTACCTGATATCTATTTTATACTCAAACAAAGCTGGGAAGAAAGAAAAAGAAATCTGATTCTTGCAATGCGGAATTATTAGCATTACTATTGTTTTATTTCAAGGTCAAACACGATGAAACAATAAACTTCAATGTAAACAACAACATGCTTGAATAATGCAGAAGAATTAAATTAGAGAGAGGTAGATGGAAAGACCTTCATTTCTGATGCTGGGTTAAGCAGTTGTTCATGCCCCTCCTTTGATTTGTTGTATCTCTCTATCACTGATTTCATGCTGGTAGAAGGGCATGAAGTGGTCAGATTGTCCTGATGAGGACTTTTTGAAAAAGAGGATATAATGGTCGTTAAGGCCATAAAGAATAACACTCTATGAGAAAGACAAATTAATGCCCTTGAAGTTCTGTATAGGCAGCACAATAAAAATGAACTTAAATGATGCCTCAATTCTCAAATTATATTTTGCAACATCGAGTCATGATGAGAGAAAACAAATGGCTTGGAATTCAAATGATGTAATTTACTACTACAATATATATGTTTTATAGAGGTGAGTTTTACTTGCATGACACCTACCTATACAAATTGGTCACATCTACTTCAGTCTATACTATGATTAGTAAATGTGATACAAATAGTTTAAAGCTGCTTATGAGGAGGGGGATTCGAACTTGAGTGCAAGTGGGCGAACTCGCTATCCTAACCAACTGGCCTAATTCACGTCTGCTTAAGAACACTTTTATAATTAGTAATCTAAAAGTGCATTAATCCAAACGACCAAAAGTACACTTTCCATTGTATTCGGCAGAATTAGCTAGCTAGCTAAAAGTGTTTCTTCAGTTATAGAACCACTTTTTAGTGCTTTATAAAGAAACACTATAGAAGCGTTCTTAGGAAGCACTTTCAAGTGCACAGGATTTGTTAGATGACACACCTACGTACCCATTTATGACTAGGTAAAATTTAATCACATTGGTTGCCATGGTTAACCTGTTTAAAACCTAACATGATGAGTAAGTTTTACCTAACCTTTACAGTAAACCGAAAGGCCATAAGTAGTAATATTTTTTATAAAGAGAAGAAAAGACCAATAGGTCTAGCTCAGTGGAAATGGCTTTAATTTGCAGATCAGTGACCTCAAATTCGAATCTCTATGACACTTTGACAGTGTGTGTGGAGGAAACCCCAACCCCTCCCCACCCCCCTCACCCCCAATTATCACTTGTATAAAAAAAAAAGAAAAAAAAAAGATCATAAGTAATATTAAAATTTAATTTTTAAGAGCATCCGCAATGGACTCCCTAAATCACCTTTTCAGATAAAATTTAGGGAGAAAGTGCCCACCTCCAAGTTCCAACCATGCTCCCTATCCATCTACTATAAAATAGGAAGATATCTAGAAGCTCCTATATATGAGGAGAGAGAATGGACTACTAATGACTCTTTATAATTTAATGTTGTCTTATTTAATAAATATGTTAATTAAAAAAGAACTATAGCATTTATGACTTCCTAAACTAGATATATAATGCCATAGATATATAAGTTTAGGAGCGGTACGTAGATAAAATTTCAACTTCATATTAATGCCATAGATATATAGTTATAGCATTTATGCCTCATAAAATTTCAACTTCATTTATGACTCGCTCAAGAATTATAGTTTCTTTTATTTGTTGTATAATGCCGTAGATATATAAATTTTTATTGTATTATAATTTTATTTATTTATTTATGTTATACTTCATCTTATTTGCAATTTTTTTTTAATATTTTATAGACAAGAGAAAGATGAACACGCAGACATGACACGATAAATTTGCGAATGAAATTGAATGTACATATTTTGACACGATAAGTTAACGGGATTGATTTGAGTTTAGGATAATTTCACATGACATGACACGACACGAACACAGTAAAACAAAACAAGTTGCCAAGCCTAATATAACGATCTATTACCAAATGTCTTCGTGTCATTGTCGGGTTAGGCAGGTCAACAGGGTTATGACAAGAACATGATACACACTAAATGGATTGACAACACGATTATCATCAACTTGAACATGAATGTTTCATATTATTTTCGAGTAGTAGTGTTATCATGTTGTCACCAAAATTGCCACCTCCAACTATAGAAGACGCTTTTCATTGACAAGTCTTCGGTAAGTTGCCCGGAGTTGAGTATATAAGAAGTCATAATTGAATGGGATAATGAATCTTAGGTTATATATCTGAATGAAAGTAAGAAAACCCAACTATCAAGTGAAGAATGAAGGGCGCCAGAACCAACTGGTCAGGTCTGCAGTGGATATGGGCTGGGGGAAGAGATAACAAAGTTATATAAATGCTCTCAAAGTTGGTAAGCAATCCATTTTTATATCTAACTTATTATAATTAAGGAACTTCAACAACATTTAACTATATTCTAGTCAATATTGTTCTTCCGATTATCCTTCTAGCTTTTAAGAGTTACTTTTTGGCCTACTCTTATTATGTTTTTGTTATACCTTTGACTTAGTTCAAGGACTTGTTCCCTTTTTACATATCTTAACTCTAAGCAGCCTATGATGATATTCAAAGTTCACCTTGTTAGTGTAGGTGGCTCGATACAAGCCATGATAGCCCATGATAAAATTCTGAGCTATATAAATATGTTTTGACTGTGACACAATGGTGGTACTATATAACTGCTTGCATTGTAGTCTAATCTCTAGTTCAGCTCCAATTTTTGTGAATCTCTTCATAACTTCAAAGTGGCAAACTAGACATCCTAAGAGATCAGCTACATATATTTTAAAGATAAAAATTAATAACATATATATATTTATTCATAATCCCTAATCATCAGAAGTTATTTAGATGCAGAAACATGCAGCTCTATCACTAGGCCATGCAAACTATGTTGCAGTAAATAAATATATAAAACCGTATATAACATTGAATTAATTACCCTAAATTTGTCCACAAACAGTAAGATATATAAAGAATCTGCAAATATGTATTCAAGTGTGAGTGGTCATTTTCTGTTGGTTCAAAGGATCCAGAGACGCACACAGAGTAAGCTAGAACCACGGGATCAACACATATATGGAGAAAGAAAGAATACTGGTCAAACCTGTTGCTTGAAAATTCAAATAGCTTTCCGGTGCTTGAGTAGATCATAAGTCCTACTTCTGCATCACACAAAATTGCCAACTCCTTTGCCTTCTTAATCAAACCCTTTCTACGCTTTGAAAAAGTCACTTGCCTACTTGTCGAATTATCGATCCGCCGGATCACAATCTTACCCCTCCCCATAACCCTTAAGCTCCTTTTTGTCTTAAGGTTTCTGCAATAAAAAGTGTTGATGAATAATCTCAATATTGTTAGCGTAAGGATTAAGAGGATTAAGAAGAAAAGCATGATATAGGTGGAGCTAGCCCATAAGAACACTTACGGTATTGATCAAATCTGTGGGTTGTAAGAAGCTTGTGTTACATTTTTATCCATGATAAGAGCTTTATAGGCAAAAAGTGGTTTAGGGATGAAAGTAAGACACATTTTTTAATGGGAATGGGTTTTGAGTAGATTAAACTTGCATTAGTGGTCTGTACTTTGTATATTGAAGTACTCAAGAATGAATTATATAATATAATTTGTAAATATGCTATATATAGAAATTATACATGTCCTTTATATTGTGAATATTTTGATGGTGTGATCCGTCGTATAAGTCAGCGACACATACATGTGAATTATTACATCCACACATTTTTATGTTTGTTAGTGCGCGTTTGGAGATTTAATTTTTTCCATACTCTTCTGGTTTTCTTGTTTGTTTATTTACATTAATCTTATCATGTTTTGTTTAAGGGGTAATTGCTAAAAGGATCACAACATCTCATTACATCACTTGACCACATGATTTGATAATTAATGTGTTAATCAATAGTCGGCTTTTAATATTGTTGTAATAACCACATATATTTACTTCATATAAACAACTAATTATGTGGTCAGAATGTGATGCCTTTAGCATTTTCCTCCACTAAATGATGAAATGATCAGTTTATATATTCATCCTCATCTTGAAACATAGTAATAGGCTATATATGGATAATTGAGCGCCTCATTACCTTTGCCAAGATATTCTCTCCCTCTACTTGTAGCATATTTTCTTTCCCTCTTCCTCATGGTCTCTCGACACATATGAGTGTGTGATTTTGGTTGTATCTAGAGCTGGTAAATTTGGAGAGAGAGAGAGAGAGGCATTGGTTTGATTGTTTTTGAATCGCTATCAGCATAACGCGTCGCAATTTATGCCCATATAATGTCGCGTAAGCTTTTGGGAATAGAAATATTATTATGAAAGAAATGATCAAGCATTTAAGAAAAGGATTGTTCAACAAGATTATCAAACCCAAAGAAACATATGATCTTACAAAGATAATTCACAATTCACCAAAAACAATCACATAAAAAATCATCATCCTCCTCAACATTAAGAAAATAATCATCCAAATTTTGATCTTTACAAAGATCATTCACCAATTTCAACTCAATTAGTGCTACAACACAGCCCAATATATAGCTTGAATCTTTTCCGAAAACGGCCTCCAATTTCATGGGTTGCTAGTTTATGTGGAGAATTTGGGGGTTAGGGCTAGAGGCATTTTTCAGAGGTGATATGCTCATGATTTAAGGCGTGTTTAAGAGTGGGTTATGTGACTTTGGTAGGTTTTTGATTGTATGGGACTGAAACGAAAACTTGAAAAGAAAAAAATAAATTACAAACTGAGGAGCACGTTTTGCGAATGATCAATGTGACATCGCTAAAAAACTAATATAGCTTTTTACAAATTTGAGCATTTCACTAATATAGCGTAAGCTATTTGTGCCCTTCGCGAATGATCAGCGTGATAGCGTATCGCGAGCTATGCAAACGCGATTCAAAACAATGGTTAAAATATATTCATGCCAATCCAGAAAAGCAACAAAATGCAATCTATTAGTACATTGCATCTAAACACTTGTAATATTTCGTAGTTGGGACTGCCAAACATAAAGGCACCTGTACACACCTTTTTAGGCTGTGAACTCAAAAATAATTGAGGTTCATTTTCCTCTCATTGAACTTAAAAAGCTAGGAAAAGTAGGCTGAGTTATCTTATTTAGTTTTTGTAGATATGTTGCGGACTTCGAGAGTACGAGAAATTCTCTGAAGCGTTGAAATCCTGCAGCAAGTTTCAGATACCAACTCACATGCGAAAGGCTAAAATTGGCATCTGTCAACTTCAGAGTGGTCTTCTTTGCACGTATTTGTCTCGAGCTTAATCAATTGTAAATTGTAATTAAACAACTCTTAAACTCTATTAGAATGCAAGTATCTAACTTAAAATCAATTCGCAATTTGCTTAGCCAATTGACACGCCTAAGCAACCAAGCTGCAGTGTCAGTGAGATTTTCTCTCTCACACAACACTCAACTGATCATGATCATCACTGCTTATTATTACGTACACATATGTAATATATCAGATGGCATGTTTGAGTAGTGCATCGAATTTACATAAATTTTGGCACTGGTACAATTATTAATATCTTATGCCCCTATTTACATTTTAAAAAAAAATTATACCCTACTATAAATGGATTCGATACAATACGTCGGCATGCCACTATGACATATTTATTGACAACATATACACTATATATGTATGGCATACATGTCAACTAGAAATACTCCATAGTATGGTATATATTGTCCCTTTATATTGAGGGATTTCTCAAATAATTTTATTTGAGGGACACTATTTAGGGTCTTCTACGAATTTATTTTTCAACGATTCAAATCATTTATTTTTTTAGTTCACATGACATGATCTGGAACGGGTGACTCCACTAGCAAGGGAACGACGGATTCATAATCCACTCTCGCTAATTAGACAAACGGGAATCAAACCCATTCTTACAAAAAATTAGATAAATCGAAAACCATTTCGACATCTAATTCTGTCTACAAAATCAATGAACACGGTGCTTCAATAAAGTACTACAATTTCAATAATTCAATTGAGAGGTCAAATGATATCGGATTCAAGTAATGTTTTGTAAATATAATCTTTGAATGAATATCTATAAAATAAATGTTTGGATTAGTAACATACAACATGGAGTGGACTCTATAAGAGTGTTTCTCAATGAAAGCTCTTTGATAGGGTATATATATATATATATATATTATAATTAGGATGTGGCTAAGGCCAAGTTAATCATTATGGTTTGGTGACTGTCTCTAAACACAAGTTCCCATTGGCTAAACCCCACGTGAATTTGATTTGTTAGACCAATAAGATTCCGATCTTGCTGTAAATCCTATTGGGGCCCTGGGATTAAGGAACCCAAAATCGAAGATTGGGTTAATTTAAGCACAGCTTTATGACATCAACTAGCAGCGTAGCCAGGTGTCAATCATCAACAAATGATATAGGTTCACAAACCAAGAGAAAAAAGGTAATTTTGTGGACATTTGCCACTAGTCTATCATCCCAACAAAGGAAAATGTTGCGTTACCGAGTCATCACACCATTCAATAATCAATACATGACTACTTTTCAGTCTTGTGATGTTCGAACATAAACTAATAAGAGAAGCACATGAACTTCATCATAACTTTCAATTTTCTCCGCCCAATGAAAGTCAGATATGGCTCCTTTTTTTTGGAGGAGAGGTATGTCCCTTTTGATTCTCTAAGCCCACTTGCTCGGTGGACTGAAAACACCAATTCTTTTGCACTTCGGGTAATTTCTGACAGAACCTTCAGGACTCGAGAAGGTGTGGAATTTTTACAATGGAACTAGAAATATATTAGGGTGGAAACTCGAAGGGGGTGAATTATTTTGTGCTTTTGTTCTTTCCCTGTTGGTCCTTGGCGCTTTAACCTATCTCTTTATTAGATAGTGGTCATGTTTGGTGATGGAGATCTAGATTAGATTGGATTATGAGGTAGAATTGGATCGCATTGGATTACATTGGATTGGAGACAATAACATTAATCCGATAACATGTACTACCTATGATTAAGGGGGGTGAATTAACTGAAATATGCTATTACATGACCTAGTAGAATCCAATTCAAGTTGTTTTTAAGCCACTAAACATTTGACTATGATTATGAATCATGTCCAGCTAACCAAACATGCAATATTATCAGTAAGCATCTTATCAAAATGTGTGATGCTAAAATACCAACTACCTTGCCAATGAGTCAATAGCTCAATGGTAAAAATATTTGACTATAAATCAATTGTCTCAGGTTCAAACACATATGACACATTTCTCCCCTTGCTTCTAATTCTAACTTTCACAAAATACCAACTACCTCGTTTTTCTTTTTCAGAGCCCTGTTTAATTTGCAATGAATCTTGGGCCTATTGTAACGAACCAAGTTGGGCTTAAGCCTTAAGGTAAATTTCTCCCCGCACGTGCATTGATTTCGTCTTGTCTTCAGCTGGGTTTGCTTTACTTTCGACGGTTGGAGACATTGTAGATTTTAACTTCCAAATAAGATGGTTGTCTAGTGGTATTTTTGTTAACAGAGGTTTCAATTTCTTTTGAATTTCTTTTCTGGTCGCCTTTTGTCCTAGTAGGAAAGAAGCCTGGTCCAAAACATTGGGAAGCATTTTGAGAATCGTGATTGGAGCTTGCAAATACTTCGAAAAGCCATACTATGGATATGGAACTGGTCAAAGTCTCAAGGTCTAGGATGTCTATACGTTCATGTTATTAATTTTGTTGACTAAAATGATGGGGAATCAATGTGCCAACATCATTTAAATTTTTTAGCTTGTCTCTATTTGATCATGAAATTATAATTTGCTTAGGTGAACATCTGATTTCATGGTGGCTAAATCTAGATGAGAAATAGAGGCATGATTTTGGGCATTTGCTTGCAGTGACAAATTCAAGAATTTTACTTTGTGGAAGAGGAAAAATATAACTAATTGCCTAACTCTTTGAGACATTTCGTCGAGCATTTACTTACACCTTAAGAAACATATCAATGGATAAACTGATTTGTTAGGACAAATTAATAGAGACTATTTTGTTGAGTGGGGCTGATAAACCCAATTGCCCCTCCTTCCGTCGGCCAATGATTGCCTGGCCTTGAAATCAGAATGAAAATTTTCATACAGCGTGCAATTTGGCTGAGTCAAAAGAAGTGGAATGTTGAGAATTTCCAGGTACCGAAGCAACTTTCTAGCAGTCGAGTTCTTTGCTAATCACAATTAAGTCTCTAGGGATTAATTCAAAACAAGTTGTTAATTTCTTGATCATGGTTATAGTGTAACCACTACGTAGAAGAGAAGAGATTCTGGATTTTCTAATTTCTATTGGTTCCACAGGATTTGTCTATAAGCCCTAGCAGATTGACAGAAAAAAAGACTGTCTCGCCGCTATTATGACAGAATTAATGCAAAACATATATCTCCGAAGCTACATAAGCATGTAAGGCCCCGT